GAAAGTCCATGAATAACCAGGAGAGTAACCTCATTTGTAGAACGTGTATAGAGTTAGAAGGGACTTTAAGGGTTCAGCTGGTTCTTCTGCACCAAGTCATTCCTATATCAGGCCTTACAGTTCCTATATGGCCAACTCTTGAGGATTTCCAGGGATGGTGACCCTAAAACTTTCCCAGAATATCTGTTTTTAATACTTTGCTATCCTTACTATTAAAAAGATTTTCCTGATTTTCCACTTGAAACATTTGTTTCTGGTCCTGTTTATTATTGACATAGAGGACAAATCTTCAGTCAATTTCAAAGACAGTCCCCATGTTCTCCTTCAATTTCTTTCTTCTGTTTTTAGGCTACCCCCTAAAGTTTTTGTATATGTCCTGATTTCTAGGCTGCTGGTCATTCTTGTTCTTTACCTAATTTATCCCCATCTTTCTTGAAATAAGTTTCCAAAATTGAATATAACACTCCTCTTGAACCATAACCAGTTCTGGGTAGAGAGGAAGGTTTACTTCATATATGTTGCAGACAGTATCCCTGGTTATATGTCCCACAATGACATGGGAAAATTATCTGTCTTTCTTGTGGCATTTGCTGCACTTTCCATGGAATAATCGAAGAAGGAATATCAGAGTGGTTCTGTAGCTTAGGAGTTAGGTTTCCTATACCTGCTCAAGTAAATATTTGTCTATTCTATTCTTACTGGCATTTTACCAGGTTAGACCAAAGGCTAGAAATGGCTATGTAGAATTGTGTCATTTAAAGTGTATATATGACACTTACTTAAGTAATATTCCACTTCTTATCTGTTTTGATGCATTAATTTGCAGTAAAGGTTGATTAGACTAGTGCTTGAATGAACCAGGAGACAGACACTATTTACTGTCTGCCAGAAATTAGACAGATATTAAGCTTTCAATATGAGTTGTGGCTAATCAATGCACTTCTCCCATGTGAAAGGGGAGAACTTGTCATATTTGCAAACTGTTCTGCTTAGATATATCTTCTGAGTGTGGATTACAGAAAGATTTGAGAGAGTTAAAATCTTTTTCTATAGCTTCTCAGAGCTATAATTGATTTCAGATTTTAAAATGTGTTGTTTCCACTTTGCATATCATTAAAATAAAATATTAGCTTTCATAAAGTTTCTTTGGAAGTGTTTCTTGTGTGCTGTGTTCCGTGATGTCTAGAATGTCAATTAAATTCTCGAAAACAATGGTGGAGCAATATTAAAATTAATGAACGCTGATCTTTCAGACTGCATTAAGAATCTGTTATAATTATGTGGTACTTCTAATACATGTCTGGGTATAGCCTACTTCTGTTTGTAATTGTGTCAGCTTCATCCAGAATGTGCAATACACTTTCACAAATGGATCCCTTAGTAACATTGCTGAATTGGCCAGAGTGCAGACACACAGAAACGAGCATAGAAAGAAGCCAATAAATTTTAAAGCCTTGCTTGCCAGCAGTCTACTATATTCTTTTTCTGTGCTGCATATTGATATGACTAGGGTTCTGCTTCCTTTGGGAAACCTGGCTTTCTGTTCTTAAATAAAGCAAAAGTTCTGCTGAATTTCACCTCTTTGCTAGCTCTGGTTTGTTCCCAGATGTCCACTATCAAAACCAAAACCAAGCCAGTTGCTTGATGAGAATGAATGACACTTCCAACAGAGTCATTCAGGTTCTGGCGTATGCTCTCTGAATGCTACTGTGCCCAAATTTCCACTGAGCATTTTAATGGGAACTGCTGGGTCTGCCCTGTATCTCTCCAGAGCAGGTCACAGCATGGCTACACTGCATCTCTGAGATGCAGTACTGGGTAAAGTAGCTGTGGGGTATATATCTAGCCTAATACTTTACCAGAATTGGCAGTTTTCTTGTCCCAGAGCTAATTAAGTTGTGATGGACACTAAGGTTTGATTGTCTTTATACAAAGGGCTAACTTAACTCTGATTTAATAAATAGAAAATATCATCACCCCACTGACAGGTTACCTTTGAGACAATTTCTCTATAATCTGAAGAAAAATAAAGATATTTGCCTTTGAACTTTTCTTCTAGAACCTTGCATTTTTCCTATTTTTTTTATATTGGAATTGCTTTGTTTTGAGTTCATTGATTATTTTATATTATTTCTTTCAGATCTGGAAAAATGGTATTTGGACCAGTGAACCTAGGAGAAGATGCAATAAGAAACTTCACTGTAAAGCACCATTGTAACTCTTGCTGCAGGAAGCTGAAACTTCCTGGTATGCAAAATAAAGATTAATTTTTAATTTCTAACTTTTTGAATGCAAGATAATAAAGACCTAAGTATGATATAAAGACAGGAATTGAAATTCTACTGAGTTGTGATGAACACTGAAATATACCTCAGCAATAATTTTTAGAATAAGAGAGGCTAAAGATCTCAGGAAATCTGTAAAAATTAGCAATGCATTAGCCTGGGAAAAACTCACTGCAGCTCTCTTGGCCCTTGGATAGGGTCCTATCCACTGCAACCCTTCTTTGCTGATGATACAAAAATGAGGGGAGTGGCTGAGACACCAGAGGACTGTGCTGCCATTCAGAGGGACCTGGACAGGCTGGAGAGCTGGGCGGAGAGGAACCTCCTGAAGTTCAACCAAGGCAAGTGCAGGGTCCTGCACCTGGGGAGGAATAACCCCATGCCCC